AAGGGAACTGAAAAGAAAGAAGTCTATGCAATTGCACAAGCCATAGCTTCAACACTTCCAAACATTCATATAGATCGGGGAGCTACAAAAAGCAACTATACCAAGATAATACGGATATAAACTATGCAATAAAAATAAGAGATAAAACTCACATTTAATTAAGGAAAAAGTTTATATAGAGCGGGGGCTCAGAGCAGTCAAATTAGAGCCCACCTCAAAAATTTCACTAGAACAGGTAATATCCTCAAATTGATCATCTCGACACATCAAGATGCATGGACATGAGAAAAAATGGATTTCAAGTTTTGGAAATAGTGAATCTTGTAACGCATTTTTGGACCGTCAATTTTCAAGATCTTCAAGTTTCGTTAGATTTGCTCGATCTACACGATTTTTGAAGCTTTGAATTTTATAATTAAAGATGAAAATATATTTTAAGGCTATTACAAAGATTTCCAATATTGAAACCACATTTCTTGACACTATTTGAAGGTGCGCTTTACTTTGAGTGTTTAGAGCCTCGGCTCTATACAAACCGCACCCTTTAAGTAATAATAGTACGATACGTAATTTAAAGAAAAGGTAATTTATATAAAACCCATATTTCGGTAATAGTAGTACAATAAGTAATTTAAAGAAAAGGTAATACAAATGCAAAAGTTCCTAAGCACACAAACACCATCACCTGGTGGAATAGAATCCATTCTCCTATTACAGTCAAAATGGAAACCAAAACATCGAATAGAAACTGTCCAAATGGGTGTCCAAACCATTCTGACCCACAAGAAGCCATGGTTCAACTGTTCTAAATGAACCAACCAAGCATGATCCATTCTCAGGAACAAATTGGCAAGCAGAAAAAATAAACTTTTTCTTTTCTTTTGAATTGATTTCCTCTAGATGGAAATCTTCAAGGGTCAACATACATGACAAAGTAGCCGCCTCATTTAAATATTTTTGAATGCTGGGTTCATTCTAAGAGTTGCATCGTTTACTGTTTTTTCTTATTTCTAGATATTTTTACATTTTTTTTGCTCTTAATTATTTTTTTGAACGGTTGATCCAATTGGTCAGAATGCAGTCCAACAGCAACAAACTACCAGTCACATTTGGTTTGATGACCTGTTTGATCCTGATTAAACTGATTCCAGCAAGCCTGTAGAATGAGAACAAAAGGTGAAAAAAATTGGTAAATGTAGAGAAGAAAGCAAATTTAATAAAAAAATACATTTAAACTGATTTAAAAACAAAAGAAACTTGAATCTACACAAAATTTAACTTTCAAGAGTAATGAGCACAGCGGTTCAAAGTCATACACTGACAAGCTCTCTGAGTTTGAGAACTGAATAATGCCATAGTGAAAAAGTAATTGAGTGCGCGATATATTTCATAAAAATGATCTTATTGTTTCAAGTGCCAGCAGCCCAGTACAAAGATGACATTATAGATATTTCTAAGTAATATCAAAGTTCAGAAACACACAACAGCATACTCACATGCCAACACATAAATGCCAAAGAAGCAGGAAACTATCAACATCTAAAATGCATTGATGAAGAACCAGTAACTCAAGTCACAACTCACATAAAACATAGGAAGAAACCACAATATGTAATTCTACATACACCAGAATGATCTTACAAGCACACCAACTTTGCATGAAGTGCATTATTGCCAGATAAGTTTAAAATGAAAAATGCAAAAGCAGATGTGCAGAACAATTGCATCATGAGCTTTCAAAATCTTTTTCACCTTAGGCAAGTGACCAACATCCAGCTTTTGTCTCTTGGGAGCTTGACTTTCATTTCCCGTAATTTTCTCAACAACTTTTTCATTCTTTGATAACAAAGGCTTTTGAACCCTGACAAAAGTAGAAAAACCCCAGAACAAAAATTAGCAAGGATTATCTAATAATTACATGATAGAGAAAATCTAATTATGAAAAATTTTCAGATGCCTACGAAGCCATAATTCATAATACAAGCCTAGATATATCCTAAAATGTTGGACCATAAAAGTGAAAAGAGATTCAAAAAGAATAATAAAGCTTATTGACCATTGCATCTCAAATACAGGGGAACTAAAGATAAGAATAGTGCATTAGTAATGAAATCTCTGTAATAATTGAGAGTGTAAAAAATTTAGACATAAAAAGTGTATCACATAAATTCACTGGCTTAGCATTAAGTGAAGAAAACAATACAAGATTGTCGTTTTAATAGCAAAAACTTCTAAACCAGCAAACAACCACGAGAAAAATCAACCATTGATTTGTCAATAAATACATCAAAGTATCCAGTGCTTTTCTGCATGAGACTCACCATAACATCTGCAATTTATATAAGATTCAGGGACGCGCTTGATTTATTACAGCAATGACAATTGCAACATGGCATCCCATGTTGAAATCCCACCACTGACCTACCCACAAAAAAATGCAATATATCCACTATTACAAAACTTATGACCATTTTAACAGACCTTTGCATGACCCTGCTGGAATTTTTTACTTCTCCCGACATTTTTGAAACTAATCGGTTTTGCTTGGCCAGCTGACTTGCTGTAGGTCTCATCAACGTTGAGCTCTTAGGCCGGGTTGCTTGAGTGAGAAACTTTGCAGAAATCTTGGGAATATCTTGCGATGTAGGATTATGAGAGACAAGTCCTACATGCAGGAACGGAGCAGAGAAGTATGAAAACCATAAAGAGAAATAGAAAATGCAAAAAATGGAAATCCTCAAAAGCATGTGAATCCACATGTCCACGAAATGACTGATTTTTTTTTTTGGTGAAAAGGGTTAACTCACGCAATGACTGATTTTTTTTTTTGGTGAAAAGGGTTAACTCACGAAATGACTGATTTCATTCAATCACAATGAGAAATCATTTCTGCAAAGCCTAAATGTTGTCTAGACAAAGACATGAATTGACAGACCAGAACCAGTTAGAATATTATTGCTTCAAATAAAGGCTAAGAACATTTCTACAAATACAAATCTGTCCAATCAGGCATAGATAAATCAGACCTTTACAGAAACTGTCACCCATGAAAGTGCCAGCAATGGTACAACTGTTACAGTCAAGATCCAAACTTGACGATGTCCAAGCTTGTACGAAATGAACGTTTGTTTGAGTGCCATATGTAGTATGATGGGGAGGGGATTCTCTCTCCTCTGCATCAATTATAAGATCTGCACAAGACCCAAAAAGTTAAAAAATAAATAAATTTCCCGCATGGCAAAAAGTAAACCATCAGGTTAAAAAAAAAGGCATACAACTTCAACCTACTTAACAATTCTCCATGCTAAACAGCTCACAGAATTAAAGGAAATTATGGCTTTTAAGTCAAAGGACCAAAAAATAGAAGTTCAATTTTCTAACAACAAGAACATTACTCAATTAAATAAGACTTAAAAAATATACCACAGAAAAGTCCAACCACAAACAATAAATCAAAGAGAAAACCTGAAATTGATATGTGAAGCTTAGGTGAATTTTGGTAAATGCCAACTAAGACTCCTTCCCAAGCAATTCACCAACCCTGACAGTTTTTTATATTCTTTGGTTGTATTAAGCGAAATTTCACCTCATGGATTGAGTAAAAATAAAGCATATGATATAAAGAAATGCTAGAACCATCATGGAAAGTATAATACTAGTACCTTCATTCTTCTCTTCTAGCAAAGTAAGTTCTGCGTCGTCCACAGCTTCACAGATGCTATTAGGGACATTGTGATTGTCATTCTCCACACAGTTTGCTTGGGGATTTAAGTTCATGTTGTCCGCGAGAAACTCATCTAGTCTCGGCAACCTCGCTATGTACGCTGTAATGCAGGTAGAGAAACAGTTATCATATCACATGATAAAGAGAAAACAAGCATGATCCTGATACTTTTCTAGAATAAAAGGGTATGAATTAACACCATGTGTTTTCTTTATTTCAACACTAGATAACATGGATAAATATATTACAGGCACACAATTTTTACTGTGGAAAATGTATTGGTTAGAACTTAGAATTGCAACTACTCATGAAGCTTTGTCTAAGAAAATGGATTTTTCCAAAGAAACCAGAGAATAATTAATGCATTCACATCAATTGAGAGACCCAACCCCCCCAAAGAGAGCACAAAGATCAATAGTCATTAGCTCATATTATTATGTTATATCTTTATGGAATAAATGATTGCTTCATCTTATTGAATATTTTATCAAGTATCTACAAGATTTTCTCAAATATTTCATGTCCCAAACCTCAATTTCATCCAATTACCATACGCATAGTCGATTTTCTCGAATATTTCATGTCCCATACCTCAATTTCATCCACCTACCATACGCATCCTATTTTACCATTCATATGCTGAGTGTGTACAGCCATATTGGAGCTCTCAGCTTAAATAACCACATGAAAGGACTATACTCTGAAGCGACTACCAAGAAGTTGTATACACTCACCAACAAAGGATGATCTATTGCAAGCAACTACCAAGAAGTCGTATACACTCACCAACAAAGGATGATCTATAGCATGCAACTACAAGAAGTCATATAAACTCGCCAACAGAGGATGATTCATCCTAACATTCATTAGAGTCCTAAGAATTAGAGCACCAACATATGAAGGGCAAAAGTATGAAAAATGTACTTCCGTACTGGGGCATTTACCACCAACCACCAAATTTCTAGAAGATTATGGCTACCTAGCCTTCCCTAATGTGTCATTATATGCAATCACAAGCTTCTATTAAGCAACAAAGCCATAGTAATCATGACTCCTCTCTTTTGTATGGAAAAATGTGCAATACCACATCCTTGCATTTCATGCTCCAAAAATGCAATGCAAAATCCAGCTCAATATCATCTTCCAAATTTTCATCTTGGAAGATGTACTTTCAGGTCAATATCATCTTCCAAAATCCAGGTAAGCAGGAAACACTCAAGTAAGTTGCCACAAGCATTTCTATGCGCTAATTAGTCATGCAAGTTATGATGAATTTGTGAGCTTTAATTAGTCAAAAGTATGCTGAATTTGTAATGTTTATAGTGCGTTTGAGAAAGGGATCAGAACCCATTATTTTCACAAAACCAATGACATTGTTTTCGATACCCAACTCTCCAACATCTGGCACCTTCCTTTTCTCCTTTTTTAGTTAGGAGTCAGGCAGTCATGAATGTCATTTTGCATGCCACATGGAAAAGTGTCCCATACCCTTTTCATCCTTCATTATAAGCAGCAGAAATGAGCTCTGCTGCTAAACCATTACATCCCTTAAGCTTATAACACTCCAAAACAAAGCCTTAGACAGCAAACCACATACCATGATAATAATGTATAGCTTGGTTTTTGAAATTTTTGAAAGTCACAAACTTGTTTGCTCAAATGCCATCAGCATGGACCAGCATGTTTCTTGGTGCATTTAGATAGGCATGATCAAGGTTTGGATCAGTGCTAGAATTGCTACCTTTGTACACCACAGGCAGTCTTTATATGATACATTGGTGACAAGCGTTCCTGCAAGAGTTTTGAACAAGATACAATCTATAGCTCATGGGATATTATTATAAAGCCATAATTTTTATGGGTGTGTTTATGGTCTAATCACTCACAAACCTAACGAAGGGAATATAAGCATGAACTTAGGGAATTTGAAAGGTTATGGGGAAGTGTAACAAAGAAGGATCATTACCAAATATCGAAGTAGGCGATTTAAACCCTTGGGAACAGGGTTCTTAAGTTTGAGGCTGAGAAACTTGGAGGAGGATACTATAGTCTTTTGTTTTTCTTCGGAGAGGAAAAGTATAGTGTTTTCTTCTCAACTTGATTTATTGTAAGAAGTTAAGGAACAGATTCTGCGCATAACACTTGCCTCAATCTAGATGGTATATAAAACTTCCCAGAGCAGACCCCAACAATCTCTCTCTCTTTGGCCTTCATCCTAACGATCTCATCTTCATGTTGAATTTCTAGTCACTTCATATCACCCAAGTTCAAGGGTGAGCCAAACCTCGGCACAACACTCACACATCACCATTAAATGTTATATTGTCATTAGATAACTCATTCATTATCAATAAATCCAGCTCAATAGCCCATGAATAACCCCCTGAATAGTTCAGCTAACAAAGATGATTCCATAATCATGTCAACTATAAGGGTCTTCAGCAGCTTAGAGGGCTAATACTCGACGACTTCCCCGATGATTTGCCATCTATCTTGCTAGATTAGGAAAATAAGAAAGCAATGTATCGGTTCAACAAAGGAAAAAATATTTCATAAAACACCATGTTTGAGAAAGAATATCAAATTTCACCACACAAAAGAAGCTCCCACTGAATCAATTTGGAATGAGCTTGAAAGAAACATGACGATTTTCCGAGCTCCAATGTCAGCGGTATTCTATTTAATCAAAGACATTGCCCAAAAATAAGTTATCAGCCGTGACCATTGTTCTCTATTGAATCTACCCTGAAAACACTATCCTGAGATGGAAAGGAGACTAAGAAAAAAAGCATTAATTGGCCCGACCCATCATGCAGTTCTTGATTACAACACACTAATTAAGCTAATGCCGCAAAATAATTGATGCCTTAGATCTAAAACACACACCCTAAAACCTTTGCATGCCCAGAATGGAAGAAAACTACAGACAATTCGAAACCTGACATTTCAAGATTGAAAAGATCCCAATGATATGCACAATCCCGTCAAATAAGAGTGCAAAATGAAATTTAAAAATTGTAAAGATAGCATCAATCCAAAGGGTTCCAGAGCCCATAGCCATTTTAAGGAGCATTGTAGAAGTTTATTTATATTGGGGTTTATGCAGCCTTACGAGCAGGAGGACAGCTGCCTACAGTTTCGAACCAGAGCTCCGCCTCCTCAGCTTCAGAGGGTGTCTCTCTCCCAACAAAATCAAAATAATGGGGTGCAGAGTACTCATAGTCGAGGTCTATTTCGAGAGAGAGAAACTCTCCTCCTCCACCTTCATCAACATCAGTCATGGCCTCGTCCATTCTGTCTCTAACGCTGCTCATCCCCTCGTCCATTCTCTCTCTCTAACATCAGAGACTCTCTCTCTCCACTCCCTAAACAACGAAAATCAGAAACCCTAAGAAAGTCCTGTGAAACGATTAACGGCCATTAAAGAGGGAACTTCGTACTTGTCGTTGCAGAGGGGTTGTTTTTGGCAAATTTCAAATGAGGAAAAATGGTGAGCAAGATACGCTCCTTTTCACAACGATGAACATGAGTTTTTTACGGCACACAGTCCTACGAGAGTGCCCCTCATTTTATCGATTAATTTCTCTATTGCTCCTAACTACTGAGCATTGAAATACCGGAAACTAGCCTTGTTATTCAAAAATTCTCATTTTTAACCCTATGATGTACTATGCTCTCGCAGGAGCAAAATTTACATTTACTCTGTTAAAAGATTTCCTGGGGGAGTTCACAATTTATTTGTTCCCTTGGGTAAAACCCAAGCTAGGAATATTGTATTCCAAACTTTGAGGATGTAACCTTTTGAACCGATTCGTCAATCTAAAAATTAAAATCAGTGATTTAAATAACGAATATAGAAAAACTGGTTAAGATCGGTGAATCGGCTGTCCAAATCGCCATTCTACAATGCAAAAATAATAATGAACCGGCAAAAAAACACATGAAAAAAATGAAGAACCGGCAAAATGCCAATATGGATCAACGAATCAGCAGTTCGAATCACCGATTTATTATAGAGAATTGTCATTTTACTGTGCAGAACTCCATGTTCCTTTCTAGACTTGACAGTTTTCCTTATATATACGTAGAACGGGAATGGGGTGATCAATTCTTAGGTCGGACTGGGCGATTCTATACCAACCCAGCATTTTTTAAATCACTGCTAAAAATAAATAAAAAATTCCAATAAAAATAAAAATAAATAAAAAATCAATCACTTAATGCGCTTGAAAAAATTGACATCCCAAGAATGAACAATGACAAGAATTACTCTTCCTTATTGGTTGCAACTGAGACCACGACTACCACAACAAATAACTCCCTGTAAAATTGGATCTTAATCGAATCAAGTGGTGGAGCTAGGGGCTATCTTTATGACCTCAAAATCTAAATAATTTTTTGAAAATAATCATCTTGATACTTATATTTTGAAATTTCAAATTAAAAAAATCCTCTCAAATAACTTTTTGATCTCGAAAAACACATACTGTACATGCTAATCAAAGTTTTAAAAATATGTTAAAATTACCATGGAAGTGGAGTTTGAGCACTTAAATGTCAGCGTCAAAAATTGGATGGTCTAGATGCAACCTCAGAGCATGATTTTTTTCCACCATATGTTGAAGTGATTCACTCCCTTGGAATTTTGAGGTCCTGAAAGGATTCGACTCATGATCCGGTCAAAGAAGCATATGTACATTAGAGCATATAATCTTTTTCAAGTTTACCAAAGATTCAGAAATCTATACTTGGAATTCTTTTATGTCGTGAAAAATGAACTTTACCGGCAAAGAAAATTTTTATATAAGGGAATGGGGTTGAGGTCGTGGTGGTAACCTCACTTGAGTCTCACCTAACCGTCTAAGTTTCCATTGTGTATAGGGCCAGTATTCCACACTATCTACCCAACAAAAAAACAAAATTATATAAAGGTGAAGCCCTACACAATCAAATTAAGGTGCACCTCGATGCTGGAAAACCCTCACGGCCTCGATTTAATTATCTCGACCCTCACCCTATACAATCAAATTAAGGTGCACCTCAAAAACTCATTAGAAAGTATTGTTTCAATGCTGGAAAACCTTCAATTTGATCATCTTGGCCTCGATTTAATTATCTTGACCTCAAGATGTATGAACATGAGAAAAAAAATATTTATAGATCGTCAATTTTCAAGATTTTCAAATGTTCATAGATCTTATCTCGATATATACTTTTCTAATTTGAAATTTTATAATTAGATATAAAATTAAAATTTTAGGCCATTATTTTGGCAATATTTGAAGATGCACCCCATTTGATTGTTTAGGGCCTGGGCCTTATACAAACCACACCCTAATTACAACATAGGCTGGGTACAAATCAAACTCAGAGATTAACTTTTTAAGGTTGCTATATTTAAAGTTTTAAATAAAAGTACTCGGCCCGATATCTAAATCCCAACTTACCTACCAAAAGTCCAAAAAGAAAAGCAGCAATTTGCAATTTAAAAATATAAAGTCTCGATTAATATTTAAATGCAAAAATTGCTAGGGAAAATTATAAAACCAGATAAAAAATAATAAACATAAAACAAGTTTATTGTAGGCTTAAGCTTTGGAGTATAAAATTGTGTGTTTGTGCATATTCAATTCAAAATAATAGTCATCCCAGATCACTTCATGTGCATTTGGACTTGAAGCAGCCTTGATAACCCATGGAGGTTATTATTTTCATTTGTTCAAACTTTATTTTCGTATTTATAATTTAGGAAAATTATTGATATGATTGACCATCTCGACATCAAGTTATAAAAATATCCTCAAAATGTAGAATTAAGGTGCATCTCTATAATCCTTCAAAAAATGTTGTTTTGATATTGGAAAAACATATAATTGATCATCTTGACATTGAAATGTATAGATATGAAGAAAAAAATATTTAAAGTCCTGAAAATAGCACATTTTTGCAATATATTATATAGACCATCCGTTTTCAAGATTTTCAAGATTATGTAGACCATCCGTTGGCAATATATTATATAGATCATCTTGACATTGAAATGTATACATGATTTGAAACATTTTTGAAGTTTAAAATTTTATAATTGTAGATAAAAATAGATTCTCATACCATCCTAAAAATTTTTTGACCCCAAAATTGTATCTCATGAGGAAGTTTGAGGGTGCACCTTAATTTGATTGTTTAAGATTGTAACCATATGGAAACCACGCTTTAATTTTTACTAATTTGGAACTTATATTGTTTTCATTCACATGTACACCGATGCTCATTCTTGTACGACTGTCATGGACCTAATCTACCTATTATGTGAAGGGCTTAAAGGCCCTTAGTAGGTGCTTGCTACACTTGGGGCCTTTACATGGTTAGGTCTGAAAAGTTTTAAGAGTTTGGGGCTTTACGGACCTAATTTATATATATATATATATATATATATATATATAT